TTCCCTGCATCGTTGGCGACCACAGATGTTTTGAGTCAAGGACCCAGCGAAGTGTCTCCCAAATACGTCAGGTCCAGGAGGAGAGGGATTGTGTCTCTGGGACATTATTTCTTCACTCTCTCTCAGCAACTGAACGTGTTTCCTTTCCATTGTCTTTTTCTTGGAAGCTGTCCATCCCCAGCAGCACGGCCATCAGCTACAAGAACCAGAAGGAGGCTTCCAGCAGGCAGGACTGGTTCTCGCTTCGCCAGTCAGTCTTTGCATTGAGGCAACATGGTGACAATCCAAAGGGCCTTTCCTTAAAGTCCAAGTACATCACTCAAGCAGCCCCTCCCCCAGGCCTTGCCAAACCTTTTTTTTTCTATCAAGTCCTCCACAGCCTCCATATGCTTAGAGCTTCCTTGATATCTGGCAATGGTGGGCCATAAATTGGAATATTCCAGAAGAACAGTCTTCACTCGCAGCACATGTTCCATCTCAAGATCTTGGTGCGGGCACCATGGCTTTAAAGAGCTAAAGCATTTAGCTTGGAAGAGAGGTCAGTGGAGACCCACCCCTGTAATCAAAGCCCCGGAAAGGGGACGGTTTGAAGGGACAAAGGTTGTGTTTCCTGGGGAAGCACAGACTAAAAAAGGTCTTAATTCTTCATAAGTAAAAATGTTTTTAGGTCAGAGAACAGAAACTGGCTGTGTGGCCTCAGGGATAGCAGGAGAAGTGCTTAAATAACAGCCAGGGAACTTAAGACCAAATTGAAGGAATTCCTGGCATTTGGGGCTGTGGCCTTGACCACACATTGCCCTTGTGGCCCGTGGAAGCACTTTCTCTGAAGAACTTCAAGCAAAGGGCGACAGTGAGCTTGGGGCATTTTGGCCTGCTCCAAGCCATCCCTTGAGGTCCCCCCATGTTCCAGGACGAGAGACTATTTTATTTCACTTACTGTCGACGGCACATGACGGCAGACATGTGGTGAGCAGTGCAGGTTGGACAGCTTGGGCCAGCTGGTTTCTGGGGTGCAGACAGATCTGGGGAGTCCGTCTTTGTAACAGAAGACATCTTGACTGTTCTCAGGCCGAACCACACTCGCTTTTGAATCTTGGGTTGACCTCGCGGCCTTTCTACCCCCTTTTCTTTCCAAATAAAACAAAGGCAGGCAGAGGAGGGGTGTGTATAGTGATAGGAGTAATTCGTTGAGCTTTTACTGTGTCCCTGTTACGACATAAAACCTTTCCCTGGCTCATTCCATCTGTGCCTCCCCCACAACCCTGTACAGTAATGCTGTTAATACAGCCACTTTACAGATGGAAAGATTAAGTCTTCCTACAGTTAGTGAGCCTGAGGTCAGGATTCCAACCCAGATGAGAGGCGCGGTGCCCTGGCTAGTTTACTCAGTCCCCTCAGAGTTCAAATCCTGCTTCCATCTCTCTCTGGCAATACTCTAGGTCACATTGCTTTCGTTCTCTGAGACTCAACTTTTCATTTTGTTTTGCTGGGGAAGAGTTGTTTGTTTGTTTGTTGTTTTGTAAAAGTGGAGGAAATAATCCTGATTGCACAGGGCTAAATTTTGCGAGGAAGATTACATCAGGTAAATAAATTCCCAGTGCAGTGTCTGGTATGTAGTAGGTGCTCACTTTGTTCATTATCTTCTCCCTGTTTTTGTTTTGTTTTGTTGTTTCCTGCCTTTCCTTGCACTTTTCCTGGTCTGTACTCCTCCTTCATGATGTCCCTGGTTCTAATCAAGCCTCTGACAGTGACAGGCAGGGACATTTTGCAGCTCAGCGTCCCTCTGACTGATGTCAACTGCTAATTCTTTAAATTTACATATCATCTTTCTTCCCTGGAGCTCATAGCACTTAGCAGACAAGTGGGCACAAATGATTTAACTAAGTGAAATCCAGAGGCCTGCTCGTCTGGAGATTCTGCAAACTAGTGGATTAGCTCAGATGTCAGCACTGAATTATGAGCCTTCAGCTGCTCGTGCTTAGCACGCCACCAGCATTAATCCCTGGTCTTGCAGTGGTCCTTTAAATCATGCGTAGTGATTATCATCCTACTGTGAGAGAGAGAGGGGAGAAGAAATGAAAGGAGAGGGGAGGGGCTTCTGAGGGCCCCTGGAAGAGGCCTGCTCGTGCCTCAAGTTCTAGCAACAGGATGAGCAAATAGAATGGACCCAGATGAAACCCAGTCAGCCCACTTCCTCATAAACCACACGCATTTCACTTACCAAATTCTAACCATTATGCTGTGATTCCCCTGCTGCTTAAGAATGCAAATTCACACAAGTGACAGTATTCCTGCCAAGCAGTTTTCAGGCAGCAAGTGGGTCTTATTTGTGAAACTGTGAAGGAAGAAGGCTGAATAATAACTCTCTGAAATCTGGTTTCCTTTATAAACGAGGTGGAAACAGTAAGAGCTTGGAAGTGACCAGGCGCATAGGAGCACTTGGGGGCTCTCGCTGGGGTCTCAGTCAATGGCGTGCCTCCAGAGGTCACCCTGTTATTGATGGTGCACCTCACCTTTGAAAGGAGCTGTTGGCTCAGGAGAATGGAAGGATTGTGAAGGAATTATCTGAACCCGAGCCACTGCCAGCGTCTAGCAGATTCTCCCTCTGTCCTGCTTTCCAACAGACAGCCTCCTAGCACTCTTTATCCATTCATTTGTTCATTCACTCCTTCATTCATGGGAACAAAATTTCCTTGAGTAGTGCCAAAAAATGACCATAAGGGAAGGAAGGGGGGAGAAGCAGTACCAAACCCTATATGAGCAAGACCAGGACCTTACGAGAAACAGTTAAATTATGATGCCAGGTAATGGGTAGTTACCTACCAAAATCCACAGAAAATGGCCTCCAGTCCTTTTAAAAGCCAGTGAAATCAGTGGTGTAGTCAGTAAACGCTGGAGTTGTTGAGAGAAGAAGGGGATTAATGTTGCATGTGCCAGAATGATTAGGAGAGGAACTGGCAAAAGAGATGGGGAAGGGGAAGAAATGAAGGAGCAAGGAATTATAGGTAAAAGAAGAAAAGGAAGCACAGGCCCAGTGGGGAAACCAGTTTGCCTCAAACAGAGTGTGGGGTCGGGGGGCAAGGCATCTACAGGCAGTTGAAATGGAAAATTGACTGCAGAAAGTTGGGGGAAACCCTTAATGAAGTCTGGGCTCTGCAGCCTGTCTACCTTGGACAAGTCCCTTTAACCTTTCTGAGCCTCAGTTTTTATCATGTGCAAAGTAAGATTAGTAAATCCCAATTCACAGGCATATAGCAAGGATGAAATAAAATAATGCATCCCAATGTGCTTTGCAACCTGTAAAACATTATGCAAATAGGAGTTGTAATTATTATCATTAATAGCGCTGGCAATAAGATCTGATAGGAGAAGCCTAGGTTTGGAAGATCACCGAGTATCTGGTTTCAATATCAGTGTCTCCTCCCTCTGGAGAACTTCATTGTTAAATTTCTCTTCTGAAGATGGGTGCTTCTCAGTTATCTGTGCCGATTTGAGCCTTGAAGAGGTCAGATGTTGTATGTAGGTAGACAGACTTGGCTCAGACTGGCGGAGGAGCCACAAAAGGAAGCTCACATATGTACCTTAAACTGGTCTAATTTGATTTCAGGGAAGGACAGCTTCTGAAGCAATAATCCCAGACAGTCTAGCAAGAGGAAAGGGCTTAGACGAGCTAGGGAGGTAGACAGGAGGGCCAGAGAGTTGGGGAGGGAGGAGCTGGTTCTAGGCCAACGATGGGAGGTCAACCACAAGCTCAGCTCTCACAAGGGCAAACCGGTGATCAGGGCTCTGGAGCCCCAACCTGTTCTTTCCTGACAAGCCCAGGATGGTCACAGTCCCTGTTGAGTTAGAAAGTACATGTCTCAGACTAACATGGCATCACATTAACATGACCCGAGGAGTCTGACATGCCCATGTTCCACGCTGGGTGTGAAGTAAAAATGTGTCCCTGCCCTCTGGCAGAAGTGTTCAGCCCAAGATGCCCCTATGTTTTCAGGGCCAAAAGCAGACAGTGAGACGTCCTCCTCAGATGCACCTTGCCCTCTGTACATGTGGCCAGAGTGCTCTTGAACTAGCAAGTGCCAGTCTCTGCACCTGTGTCTGCAAGGCATGGGGTCTGCCAACCACAATGAGAAATCTGTCTTTCACAGAAGTGTCTGATGTATTCAAAATCAATCCACCAAAAGGGTCAATCTCCAAACATTTGGACTTGGTGAGCCTTTAATTTCCCAGAACATGTATATTCTCTGCTAAACACATAGCCTTTGTTACGGCAATAATGACCGTAACTTTATCATTGGAGCTGTCTGGGTCTGGCTGCTTGAGAAAGGTCAAGTTCAGCCCTCCCTGGAGCGTACAAGGAAGGGGGTGGAATGTTAGGCATCAGAGTCATCATACTCAGCTACCACCCCCTGTTCTGTTTGAAGCTGACATGGGCTTCCAAGTCATAGGCACAGGAGCCCAGGCATCATCTAGCAGCACTGGCAGAGACAGAAGGTTTTAAATGTCTTCCATTTGGACAGTGCCCAGCCAAGACGTCAAAGGCTTGAAACATAAAACACCTAGCCAGAGTCACCTCCAGTCTAGCAGCCACTTCACCTCCTGGAAACCGTTCCCTTATAATTCAGTTTAGACTGCACTGGCCCTTCAGGTAAGCCTATGATGAGGGAGACATGGACCTGGCCTTAGACTCTAGGGAGCCAAGACAAGCCAGACACAGCAGCCAACACCTAAGACCAGCTACACCACGTGCTATATGTGTGATACAAAGAAAGTGATACAGAGAAATAAGAGATTTAAACACTGAAGAAAGGGCTTCAAGAGGAGAATCAGGGTTCTGAAGACACATTAAGGAGGGGACACAGGACCTGGGAAACAAGGACAGGAATTTTAAAAAAGTTTTAAAAACCTGGTCCCAGCTTTTCCCTGGAGGGGCTACAGCTGCGAACTGGTATCTTTCCCAAGCATTTATCAAGGATCTCTGTTTGGGTTTGTTTCCTCAGATGACAGGAATTTCCTGCGGCTGCAGAGTGACGGCCGGCGAGAGGGTCAGTACGGGCGGCTCATCAGCCCACCTGTCCACCTGCCCCGGAGCCCCGTGTGCATGGAATTCCAGTACCAAGCCACGGGCGGCCGCGGGGTGGCGCTGCAGGTGGTACGCGAAGCCAGCCAGGAGAGCAAGCTCCTGTGGGTCATCCGCGAGGACCAGGGCGGCGAGTGGAAGCATGGTCGCATCATCTTGCCCAGCTACGACATGGAGTTTCAGGTGGGGTGGTGGAGGAAGTGGGGTGGGGAGATCCGTGGGAATCGTGATCCGTATTTCAATATTTCAAAGGACCGTGCCCATTCATCATTAGGGGACACGGTTAAGCGCTGCTGTTTTCATTGTGCTTCTCAAGTCGCCATGGCAACTAAATGACACTCTTATTTGTTATTCAGAATGTGCCTATCTCTACACCCAGACTTGGTTCTTTGTTCCTCCTATTGCCTTTTATATTGCTGAAATCTTCTCCAACAAATGTTTCTTCTCTCCATTTTATTTTAGATTGCTATCAGGTAGGCTGACAAAGGGACACAGAAGCCAGGGAAATAAACAACAAACAAACCCTCCACACACAAGGGAAGGGGTGTGGAGCCCCTCAGAATGGAGGAGGAAAAGGGAATGCCCTCCTAGACCTGTCCCGGGGAGCAGGAAGGAGCACAGGAAGGGGGCAGATACAGTTTCCTCTCTGTGGCCAGCAAACCTGAGAGAGTCTTAAACAAGTGGCTTCTCTTTCAACAGCTCTAAGAATTGAGTTATATTATCTCTGTCCCATGGAGCAAGAGACTGAGGCACAGATGGGCACGTGCAGCTGTAGCTGCATCTTGGGTAGGAGTCGACACACTGGATGAGGTGACTGAGAACCAGCCAAGGCATTAACCTGCTCCTCCCCAGACGAGGAGCAGCAACAGATGGCTGGTGAGGCAGCCAACTGCTCGCTCAGCTTGCCAGAGGACATGTGCTCGTTTGCAGAAAGAACCTGGGGAGGGCGAGAATGAGGAGTGATTGAAGACCGCAGAGCAGAAAGGGCTTCCGTGGGGAGGTGGGTGGGGAGCAGGTTCCCACTCACTAACCTAATACATGCATTCTAAGTGCCCATTTGCATTTTTGTCTAACCCACTAGAGAGTGAGTTTCTCTACGCAGAAGTCTTATTCATGAGATTGTATTATTGTCCTTGTGCCTAGCACATAGTAGGTGCTCAGAAGCCATCACTGAAAGGGCAACTTATTTCCTTCTTAGAGGCAATAATGGACCCCTCAGGGTCATAATGCAATGGGACCCACGAGACAAACCTGAGTGCTCTATTTCTCACTTTACCCACTCCTGCTCATGTCCTCTGAGTTTTCAAATACCTGGATTGGCATTCGAAAAAAATTCATGAGAAAGAAACTTCAAAAATAGCTAGGGAAATTTTAACCCCTCTTTAAACACTCCTCAATTGTGGTTCTTTTAATCAATACATCCTAGTTGTTGGACAACAAATATCCATCACCTTGTTATATTTTCTCATTCCCCCCAAATATGCATTTGATTTGAACCAACTCTTTTCAAAATTAAGATCTCTAGAGCTATAGCCATGTGGCCAACAGATGTGTACCAGATGCAATAACACGTGTGTGTGTGTGTGTGTGTGTGTGTGTGTGTGTGTGTGCATGTGTGTACATGGATTAAGCTGGAGTTAACAAAAATAAAAAAAATCTTCGCAGTTTGGACCAGGAAACTCAGATTAACCATGGCTCTGGTTCTTTCATCTTCTAGATTGTGTTCGAGGGGGTAATAGGGAAAGGACGTTCTGGAGAGATCGCCATTGATGACATTCGGATAAGCACTGATGTCCCACTGGAGAGTTGCATGGGTACGTGACGGCTTGATTCTGCATGGCTCTTCTAAATAAGACCACCAAGGGCTGGGACCGACAAGAAGAAACAAGAGGCCATTTTCAGACCAATCATCCCCTAATGGGCAGAGCGGGTGGCAAGGTGTGAGAGTAGTTGTATCATGGGCTGAATTCAGGATGGGAAAGTGTGAGATGAGGTAAAAGCTGTGTCCCTGTTCCCAATCAGCCATAGATGTGCACTAAGTACATGAAGATTCAGGGTGCCGAGATCCCATCATCAGACTCCAGTTTTCAGCAAAGAAAATGCTAGAGGACAAGAGCAACTGCCAGTCAGAATTACATGCCAGAAAGGTTTGATGATTTAATGGAAGCCTTCAGGATGAGCTAAAATAGAACACGTGGTACATAAGAGGGATAATACAATTACCAAGCAGTTCTTTTATGTGAATGAGTTGCAGGGCAAAGTATGGCATGTGAAATAAGATGCTACCTTTTGCTTTAAAACTAATACCTCTAATGCCCAAGTCCTGGAGCTATAGGATTAAAACATTGCATACCAGGTGACCGACATGGGAGGGACACCATTATGATCACCTTGGTCAGAAATGCAGGGTAGCAGCCTTCCTGAGGGTATACATTTTTCCCAAGGCCTCCTCCTATAGCAGGGGACACCCCAAGGTTTCCCTGACCATCTCTCATCAGAGTCATGGGCACTCCCAAAAGCAAGAGAGGAATCCTGAGAAGGAACAGGACTAGAGTAGTGGTAATGAGTTACCAAGTCCTTTTCTTGGCCCAAGAGTCCTAGGTTTGTGCATGCCTGCTGATGTCAGAAGCAACTGGGACCACCCCCAGTCCCCTTAGGCAACTCTCAGACCTTGGGCATCTAAAAGTAATCCTGGCTCTGAGAAAGTAATCAGTGGTAAGTGACTGATTACAATGCTTTTGGGACCCATTACTCTGGAAGGACTTTGTGTTCCAAAGCAATTTTGAGAATCCTCTCTACCCACCCCAACCTCCGTGATGATGATACGCTAGACAGAGGCCAGAACATGTGGAGGACATGGAGCACTTTCTATGGAGTATTACCAAATAGCCTAGTGGAAGTCGTCATTGTCATCATTCATACAATTATTTCTTCCCTTTATCTAACTCAAAATTTTTTTGTTTTTTGTTTTCCAGAACCCATCTCAGCTTTTGCAGGTGAGAATTTTAAAGGTAAAAAAAAAAAACAAAACCTTTTTTTTTTTTTTTTTTGCATGCCTTTTCCCTCCCCCTTGTGATGTGAATTTGGTGGTGGGGGAGTAAACTTCCAAATTTGACAGAGCTCTCAAGAGAAAATAGGTGCCTCACCTTCCCACCACTAGATGGCACCAGCAATACCTGTAGATTCACGGATTGAGATCCTCACTGTCTCTTGTTTAATTAAAGTTTAGAAACCTATAATAGAGACAAATAGGGTACAGATAAACCTTTCAGCCTTGAATTGTCCAACGGGGAGCAATGAAGCTGAAAATGCAGGAGAGGCGAGAAAGAAAAGGCTATGGGAAACCAGAACCAAAAAAAAAAAAATGTAGTAAATTAAAAGTGAAATGAGGTGGCAATGATTTATTTTAGCCTGAAGATGGTTTCTTTCCAGCTCCAGGGTACCAAGGCAGCAGTCTTAATTAACCCCCGGTTAGGCGCAGTGGCAGGCAGTCTTGTGAGGGATGGATGTTAGGAAAGACAGGAGGAGTGGTAATCGTGAGGAGGAAGAGTTGCCAGATTCAGGAACTGGTGTCTTGTAAAGGGACTAAGGAGACACATAGGTGATAGAGTTAGAGCATTTGAAATTCAGGACTTAAAAACAGAAAAGGACATTTTCTTCCTAAGAAAGTAAAGAGAACACGGCAAAGAAATAATTTGGGATGCTTGCCTCGTCCAGGAAAATAAAAAGTCCTCCAATTTTGGGCAATAGTTCTGTCAGTGCTTTGGTAATGCAGCGGGTCTGCATCTCACCCACTTTGCAGTCCACCTTGTTGACACTGCTAAATGTCTAATGCTAAACACTTAGGAGCCACTCTAAATGCTTCCCTGCAGTTGGCCTGACAAGCACTCTTGGAGACCCTGACCCCCACCTAATGACAGAGAGTTTTCTGCCTGCAGTTTGAGGGCTGCTGTACCCTGTTTGTACTGGCTGGGTTTTAACCCTATAGGTGACAGCATTTCAGAGATAAGGACAGCCATTTTTATATCCCATGTCTAGACTAGTTATCTTTACTCTCGTTAATCTGTCCAGCTTCTGGCTAGAAAGAGATGAATTCCTGGTTTGCCACCTAGGTATATTCCCAGACTTCAAATCATCTCACTTAATTTGCCACTCAGCACCCAGAGCTCTAAGGGGAAGGAGAAAAAGTGACACTGGAGAAGAAAATGAAAAAAATGTATTTTTTTCCCTCACTTATCCTTCCTCACCTCCCCAAACTTCATGCCACTCTGAAGTCCACATTTTGAAGTATTAGTAGTATTTGTGTGCATATATTTGTGCTCTCCGGGTGTGAGATTTATATGAATGCAAATCCTAAGTATTGGAAGGAAAGCTGAGATCCAAACTGAACGACTTGGATTACAGTTGAATTCAAGGTCTAACCTTCAGGACCCAAGGTAATGCTCATACTGGGGAAGTGAATCCTGCTCATGTTATTTCACCTGACTTTCTTTGGGTCATGGAGGCTCAAAGCTCCCAGAAAGACTGGGTCAAGGTGTGCTGGCAAGTGCCACAAATGCTGTTCTGTGTGCACACCGTGTCAGGTCACGACTGACAAGTACGGTGGTTAAGGGCTTTGCCTCTGTAAGAGAACAAACAGGCCAGGCGCAAGTGCTTTCCTGAAGCTGTGTGTACCACAGGGCTGCACGGTCCAGTTGTGTTTGCTTGTACAAAATATATACATAAAATCTTATCCAAGCAGTAGTGCTCATTTAGCCAAAATAAACACGGGGCTTAGTAGTTTGAAGGTAAGAATTTCCAATGTGCCCCTGGTGGACTTGTTGTGGAAAATGGCAAGCATTTGGCAAAGAGGAAACCAAGTCTTGGGGAACAGAGACTTGGCCAAGGAACACAATCAAGATCAGAGTTTGGAGAAGGGACTATTTGGATCGCAATGGCACATTTTGCATGGAGCTCTGAGCTGGTAGCCAGAATCTAAGGGTCAGGGGTAGCTTCTTCTGGGCTGAGGATTGCTTTATCTCAGCATGTCTCTATGGGCACTCAAGCAAACCCTTCCATTTGGGAGAGAAAGAGGATGTGTGTTCCCTCTAACCTAGTAACACATATTCTGTTCCTCTCGAGGGCAGAACAGCAGGAACCCTCTCTTGGTAGGGGCAAAAAAAAAAAAAAATCAGTCTTTCGGTTCAAGGGGAAATAGAGAGAAGTCAGGTCTGGGCAGGCAAGATATGGAAAGTTGCTGTTGAAACAGCATTAACAATAGGCAATTACATTGTTAGTATGTTTTTGAGTTGATTTTTTTTCTTTCCCATTATAAATTAACCATGTGACAGAAGTAATCCCATTCATTAGGAGAGATCAATGTATACTCAGTAAATCTTTAGGGAAATACAATAAAAGTAGTTTTTGGATCTGAGCTTATTAGGTATTCTTGATCTTTCATATTTCCAAGTATCTTTCATTTTCTGCTTCTTACTGATTTCTTGCCACGCAACATTGCCTTTTTATTCTAATCACCTGGGTTTTCTGCTTTTTACATACACTTAGACTGTGTATCAGGGTGTGTTAGTACTGAAGGGAAGCCATAGAGAAAAGAGGACCGTAGAAAAGGCAGAAAAGAGGAGAGAATGAATAAACTGAGTTGTCCTGGGATTTTTAAAAAGCCCTTTTTGTTGTTCTTATAAGTCAAATCTTAAACAATGTAGCCTGGGTATGCTTTTTTAATTTTTAATTTTCTATTTTTTATAAGCAGTAGCTATAAACATGGTGCCATTGTGCATCTTTTTCTAGGATTTGAGCTTTAACAAATTAAAAACTATATAAAGGGAAAGGGGGAAAAAAGGACTGAAAAGTGGTGTCATTAGGTGATGGATTATTTCCTCCTTACTGATACTTTTTCAATAAAAGAAAAAAAAATAAAGAAACCAGTAAAAATACATAAAGTCCATAGTCAAGATTTCTGTAGTTGTTGACCACGCGGTCAACTCTCGGTAAAGACTAAAGATTTTGTTCCTGTTGGAGGCTGTGGGCTTTGGCAAGAGGAGTAGAAGGATCTGGGTCTGGAGCTCCAAAGCAGGGCTGCCCTTATGGAAGGTGGTCATTGGAGTGGAGGATTCATAATTTTGGTCTTACTCTGATGGATGCTAAAGGGAACATCCACAGTTCCTGTCAATGGCCATGAACATGGATTTATGTCTCAGATCATTTGTGAGGGAGCTGTGCCCCATCTTTTGGGTTTCACTGAGTATTTCTGCAGTTTTCATCCAGGTAGAACCAGGAGAAAATGAGTGTCCAGGCTGTCTCATGGACAAAGAGGGAAGTGGTCTTAAAAGAGACCTCTTTGAGCAGACTGGCAGTTGATACTGTGTCTGCCTCAGGTTTTAAGTTCTATTTATTTGGTACAAACTGCCCAATCTCTGCATGTTTTTCTAATTTTTTTATAAGCAGTAGCTATAGACATTTTGTGCTCTCACTTCTTTTTCCATCTGTAACCTCACCCTGCTAAGACCTGCCTCCCAGAGGCTTTGCCCACCAGTGAGACATCCCCCAACTCAGGATGCGGGACCACAGATGACCTTTCTCCTTGGATCCACAACCTGTCGACTAGAAGCACTTCTGAAACACAGAGAGGGTTAAACACTGTGCTTGCACGTAGTCCTCTGATGAAAGGCAGAGAAGTGTTCCTAAACCCTGCCAGGGTTCCAGATAGGCAGCTGTGGTGTGTGAATCCTCCTCCCCTCCCCACCCCCCAGCTTCCAGCTGCCAGATTAAGGCTAGGTGTTGCTGAGCAGGGAAGGATGGAGATCAGAAGTGTGAACCACGTAACGGCTTGGCAGCCATCCTTGCTCAGGGGACCCAGATTTCTTTGTGCAGTTGACTTGTGCACACTGCCCTTGCCTGTCACAAGGGCCGGACACCTCCCCTCCCCACAAGTTTACAGTTAATCTAAACAGCTGCTGAGGTCTAAGGGAAGAAGAAAATGGTTTTTGCTGACTTCTTTTCTCTAAGAGCACAAAGGTCAAGCCCTGGTTGAAAGAAGGTAGCATAAGTGCCCCCAGAAAACTGAGAGGGGTCCGAGACCAGCCATCCAGGATTCTGAATTTAGAGGCATTTTAGACAGATGGGGGACAGAGGACAGAAAGGGGGACTCACATGGTTTCAGCCAGCTCACTGAAAACCCCCAGCGATCCTTTCTATACATGTCTCATAAAACAAATGGAAAGAGTCATTCCTCAGGGATGCTTTGTACTTTAAGATCCTTTCTCCAAACAAATCAGAGGGCATGACCACATTCTTCTACTATCTTCTATAAACTTTTCTAGAGGAGCCAACCTTTTTCTGTTGCTTGTTTAATCGCACAAATTAAATAAACCTTTTATTTGACATGGCCCTCTTCGCCAACACTTCATTTTCAACAGGTACATAAAGGACTCCGTAGACAGGCCAGGCCTAAAACAGTTCTTATGTGCAAACAGCCTTTTCTTCTCAGTGAGAAGACTCACCAGTGGTGTCTTTCAAAATGTTTCTTTGGGGAACCTGGGTGACTCCTCCAGGTCCGGGTGGCATGCCATGAACACAGCTGTAGGAGATGCTTTCTCTTTTCAGGGATTGAATGAGAACCCGGCTTGACTGAGACACGCAGTCCTTAGACAGGTGCAGGCAGAGTTGAAGGGGGAGAGAGGGCTGCTTCGGGTTCCACCCCTGCTTGGTGAGAACAGGGGCCTGCAAATTCCTCCTGTGAAGAGCCAGATTGTAAATATTTCAGGCTTTCAAGGACATACAGTCTCTGCTGCAAGCACTCAGCTCTGCCACTGTGGCACGAAAGCCACCGCGGGCGATAGGTAAACAGATGAGGATGGCTGTGTTCCAATAAAACTTTATAAAAACAGGCAGTGCGCCAGGTTTGGCCCATTAGGCTGTAGTTAGCTGACCCCTGGGTTGGAGCACCAGCTGAGGATTCAGACCACCTGGTTCCAGTCCTGGCTGCCACTTGGTAGAAGCCTGCAATTCTGAGGGCACCGAGCCATCCCTGGGGCTTCACTGTAGACTGCTCTGCCCTCCTCAGTTTTTCTCCAAGTGAAACCAGAAAATCACTTATCCTCTCAAGTCCTCATGTCTCCCATTTGCTGATCATGAGGAATAAACAAGGTTCATGTGAAGACCACAGACCAATGGCCAACAAAAATGAAAATGTCTGCTCATTCCAGCTATTGTGACAGGCACATTTCCTAATTGTTTAGGAAATCGGTAGCCATACTTGCAAATAGAAACGGAAGGAACATGACCTAATGTGTGAATTCTTTTTTTTTTTTTTTTTTTTTTTGCCTATCCATATCCATAGCTTCTCAGAATTTACTGTTTCTCAAAATTCAAATTCTTTGCATTCACATTGCTTTTCTCTGAGGAGCTCCGAACTTTTCCAGTTGGGAGCCTGTTTAATCGTGCAAATACATTTGGAGTTATTGACTACTTACATATCCGTTTCTCATTATCTCAAACAACGAGAAAATTTTGTGGAGAATTGGAGGTGGAGATTAATGAAAAATATTTGGGGCATTGAAAGCATCATCCAAATGAAAAGAAAAATAATGAGAGTAAGTGATAGAAGTGGGAACCAGGTTGGTCCTCTGTTGTGAAACAATGGCCTAGTTACCCCATAGGGCTGAGGGGATAAATGGGGTTAAAGTCGAGCTACTCATTAACCTGGGCACCTGGTATAAGTGTCTTCTGCCCAAAGTGGGGACCTTTATCCTTCTCCTCATAGGGACACCATAGGCAGAATCTCTAGCACTTTCTGAGAATAATTTCTTTGAAGTACATTTTTTAGAGAGTCTGAACATTGGTCCAACATACATTCTTCCATCCATCTACCCAGCCATCAATCTATCCATCTGTCCATCTATCCCCCGCTTCATCCATCCTTTTGGCATTCATTGAACAGCTTCTGTTGCTGGGGAAGTTGCTTTGGGTAGGGATTGAACCCCAACTGATTTATCACAGTCTTCTCTGTAACTGGTAAACCACAGTCTCATCAGCACAAAACCTTTCAAGGCTGAGCCACAGTCCAAACAGCACAGTCCACCTGCCTTTGAGAGTTGACTCTCTTTAGCTAGAGAATGTTCTAAGAAACTTCTGGCCCCCAAACTTTAAGTCACCCCAAAAATGCACATTAAAGATGAGGAAAGCATTGTTGTATCCTCTCTTGTCTAACCCCCTTAGTATTAAAAGCACAAACGCACACAGTATGGTTTCTCATGTGTGCAAACACATGTGCAAGGAAAATGTTTAAGGGGCCAATGTAATGTACCCAAATGGCTTCTGTCGCTCATGTTTTCTACATATTGGTAATTTTAGGGGAAGGAGCATAGGTAGGAAAGGAGAAAGATGGTTTTATACCTAAAGTGGAGTCTGTTTTCAAAGGCAGAGCACAATTCTGGTTCTGAATATATAACCCACATGTTATATTTAACCTTCCCCAGCAAGCAGGAAAATTCTCCCTACTCGCCCCAACTTTGCCTCTATCATCAGAAACATTTTAAGAGTAGCATTAAGGGCTGGGTGCAGTGGCACACACCTGTAATTGTATCTGTTTGGGAGGCTGAGGCAGGAGAATCTCAAGTTCAAAGCAAGCCTCAGCAAAAGCAAGGTGCTGAGCTACTCAATGAGACCCTGTATCTAAATAAAATACAAAATAGGGCTGGGGATGTGGCTTATGTGTCAAGTACCCCTGAGTTCAACCCCCAGTACCAAAAAAAAAAAAAAAAAAGGAGCATTAAGGTCTCAGACCCAGCACTTTGAGTCTTGGCTGATGTATTTAATGCTGGAAACCAGCATTTTGACCAAAGGAAAGCAAACCTTTAAACTGAGACCACCTGGTGATAACAGAGGGAACATGGGTAGTTGAAACCATGTTCTGCTTGACAAAAATTGGTGCTCCTACCTTTGGAGTCTGGTCAGGTGTTTTAAATGGGAACTTAATCACCGTGGATTTACCACCTCCCTTTTCTCTGAGAGCTGCAGTCTCATTAGAGGATGGTCCTCACTATGGAGCCAAATCAGAATCAGGGGCAAAACTGGGGATACCTCGTGGGGAGAAGAGTGATGGCTCTGAGGAAGTCCATGTCCACCCTGCACTGTGTTGCTTCCCGTGCATTCTGTGAGCTCACATGAAAATCCAGCAGCAGGGCGGTTGCCAGGCAGCAGATACTCCTGGTGACCTGAATCCAGAGTTGACACCAGTTCACTGTGACTTGCAAGCTGGCCACTTCAAGAAAACTGTTTTCAGCGCCTTGCTTTCTCTTTCTCTCCATTCTGTTCATAATTTCCAGTGCGAGTGCACATAAAAGAGACAGAGCGTCCTTTCATAGCTACAATAATGAAATCATTAAAAGACAGAAAAAGCTTAAGGACAAAGAAAAAGAGAGTAGGTGATCATGTGGGAGAAGATGAGGTTACAAAAGGGGTCTTGGGGGACCATGGGATCTTTTCCTAGAGGACTAGGAACCTGCACCTCAGTGGAAGGGGATCCCCAAACCCAGAGGAAGTGGTGACCAAGAGCTGACAAGTTGGGCAGGTTTTGAAAGATTTTTTAAGGGAAATGTCTCATTTTTCTGTCCCTTCTGAGAAGACGTTAGAAGTCCTGACACACCTCTCAGCTCTTCCCAAATAAAAAGAGAGGCCTGTGGGGGTTCAGGCCACTGGAACTTCAGAACACTGACTCAGAATGAGGCGACTGTTTCACACTGGTATTTTATTCACTGAGCATTGGGTGCCCTCTTTCATATACCCTCAGGAAACACCAAATCCAGAGTGATTTCCTTGGCATGAGGAGCTCAGAGTCTCACGGGGAAGACAGGAAATACAAACGAGGCCTGACTACACCCCAGGCAGAGGTGCTCCTCACAGAGTAGGACACATGAAGAGACAGCAGGGTTTCCTTCCATGGCTCCCCTCCTGGAGTCCCCTATGGGGAGAGAGGACACATTTTTCTGGCCACCAACACTTAACTCAAGAATCTAAGGAGGCATTTTTCTGAGGTTAAGCCTACACCGTTTTTCAGAAGTAAAGATCCTGTCTGGCTTTGGCAAACTCAAAGGCGCCTAGTTCCTTTCTGGGCCAGACTGATGTAAATCTTTGGGAGAATCAAGTTGTAGCACTGTTTTGCATCAAGTGGGACTCCAGCCAGTCTTTCCCCAGAGTTACCCTGGGCTTAAATCTACTACAGCATCTCCATGGCAACCGGAGGCCGCCAGTGAAGTGGCTGCCTTCTAGATCCCCTGCCCCGCCCCTCCCTGCTCTGTCTTTCCCATGATTGAGAAGGATCTCACTCTGCTCTCACTTACTCTTACCCTCACGTGCCTGCAATCGCTTTGTGCCCACATTTTTTGGTTGCAACTTCCCTTCTAATCTGCTTTGTAAATCCTCCATCCAATTAAAAAAAAAAAAAATGAAGATGCGTTAGTCATTGCTTGACAGTGGTAATTGACCTGTTTAGACAAGACCAGGCCGATTTCAATGGGCACAGAAGCCTTGGCAAGCCAAAGTGGAATTTACCTTCAAGTCTAGCCAGCCTAATTAATACATTGTTTGAGAAAGCTGGCCAGCCAGACCAAATATGGCATTTCCACACCCTGGAAGGAATCTGCCCAGATGAACTCCCTGCAGTCATTTCAGCATCATTTTCTTGTGTGTATTTGCACACGTGTGTGTGTGTGTGTGTGTGTGTGTGTGTGAAAGAGGGGGGGGGAGAATGACAATGCTTCTCTATTTTATAGAGTAATTGTGGGTAAACAGGAAAAATAGCTTTGTTATCCATACTACTCGGATATTGGTTTAACCTCTCTGAGCCTCTGTTTCCCTCATCTGTAAAATGGGTGTAAGCTACCTACCTCATAAAGGGATGAGTAGAAGATAATAGCGATCATTTGAAAGTGCGCAGCACACAGTAGCCCCCCCCCCCGACCCTCCCCGTGCGCCCCAAAGCATGTATGTGTTTCTCTTTCTCTCTCTCCTCTTTCTCTTTTATTTATTTTTGAATGGGTTTTTGAGTAGTGCGCATGCTCTCAGCCTAGCAACACTTTCTGTGTCTCTCCCCCAGGGGGCACCCTCCCGCCAGGGACCGAGCCCACAGTGGACACGGTGCCCGTGCAGCCCATCCCAGCCTACTGGTATTACGTAATGGCCGCCGGGGGCGCCGTGCTGGTGCTGGTCTCCGTCGCGCTGGCCCTGGTGCTCCACTACCACCGGTTCCGCTATGCGGCCAAGAAGACCGATCACTCCATCACCTACAAAACCTCCCACTACACCAACGGGGCCCCTCTGGCGGTGGAGCCCACCCTAACCATTAAGCTAGAGCAAGACCGCGGCTCGCACTGCTGAGGGCCGAAGCAAGAACAGCACCCAAACAAACAAGAAAGACTGCAAACACGTTGCCTCGATTTTGCACTTTTTTCTCCTCGCCTAGTCTCTGTGTGAACTCCCAGACCTCCCTCCCTCCCGCTGCCCCCGACCCGACCCGGAGCGCTCCATCCACCCCTTCCACGCCCCTTGGATTCTTTTCCTTTGCTTTGGTTTTTCTTGTCTGCCTTTCCTTTTTTTCTTCCTCTCCTTTCTTCTTCTTCTTTTTCCTTTCTTTCTTTCTTTCTTTCTTTCTTTCTTTCTTTCTTTCTTTCTTTTTTTGTTTGTTTGCTTTTTTTTGTTTTGTTTTGGTTTGGTTTGTGATTCCAAACCAACAAAACCCAACTCTAATGCTGCATCTTGGAATATAAGAAGAGATCACCCCTAAGCACTTCACAACTCAAAGCTCAGCTGGTTTTGTTCCAGAGACTGGTTCTCCTGTTTCTCCCCTTGCCTTACCCCATCCCTCCTCTCGGTGGGCAGGCTGCCAGGAGTCTTGCGGGGAACCTGGCTCTGTGTGTCTGTACATAGTATACACTCGCCATGTGAATAGCTGTGTGTGGGTATGTGTGTGGGTGTGAGAGAATGGTTCTTTGTGGGGGGAGTGTGTGGGGGTGTGTGTGGAGTGCCCCATTACTCTTGTGTTACTTCTCCCGGGGTGCATTTTTCAAGAAAATAATATACTGTACAAATTTTGTTTACTTGGAGAAGAGATTGAAGCTTTTTGTTGCCTTATCTAGCTCTGGCTGGGTTTCTGTTGGCTGTCATTGTCATCTCCAGGTACCTAGAGAAATAGAGGCCACATGGAATGCAGTGTGGCCCTTCCCATCCCCATCCCCATCCCCAACCCACCTGACCCAAGAGGAAGGTTCCCCCAGTGCACTCAGACAGGAGCCCTTGGCCATGTCTGCCGGCATCTTTGAAGTCACGAGTTAACAGCCATTGAGTGTATGTGGAACCATCTCTACTTCCAGCCCTGAAGCAAACCTGGCTCATGTTGCCTTATAAAAGAGAAGCTCATGATGAATGTTTAGCCTTTATCAGTTAAGTCCAAGTGTGGAATAAGTCATAAAAAATAAATCTGGGACCGATGTAGGAAAAGCAGTAGTCTGTTCAAATTCAGAGCAGGAGGAGGGGGAAGAGAGAAGGGAGGAGAAGGAAAGACTGAAATGTTGTCTTTGTAAAGTGTCCTAGTGGGGCCCTCCGTGAGATGGGGTCGAGGAAGAAGGTATTCTTTGGTATGATATTGGTCGTTGTAATAGCATTTGTAAAATATGGGGGGAAAGGGGGATCACTTGCTTTCTTTTCATGGTGTTAATGTGTGCCTGAATCTATAGCCGCTAAAAAATAAGGCTGTCCACCTGATTTACTTAAATATTATGAAAGAATAGAAAGTAATCATTTGTTTAAATGTACCAGCATGGTACCCCTTAAACCATTCATGGCATCTGGCAAACATACCCTCCTAGGCTGGCCTGGCATATCCAGATGTTGCTGCATGGTCAGCGGGGAGGTAGAATAAAGGTATATCCATTGCTGCCCACTTGTGCCCACTAAGCAACACAAGGAAAGGGATGTTAGAAAACAGTTGCCTAATGATTCTGTAATGATGATGGATTGAATAATGAAGCCAACTTCACTGACAGAAAATGTGTATTTGAAGGTTTCCAGTGTACTAGGGCTCAGCCTCAGGGGCATTTGTTTTTACCTTCCTGCTAGGAATCCACTAGGGAAGTGTAAAATTCTCTCCAAAGATGGTTGCCTGAGCTGCAAGCCTCCAGGTACAGAAAAGAGAGCAAAATACTAATGATTTTTTTTTTTTTTGGTTGCTTGGGAGAAAGCCTTTTAGCATTCTTACAGAATATCCAGATAGCTCCCTTCAGCATACACACTCCACTTTCCCCCATCTGGTTCGTTTCATCCTCCTGAAAGAACGGTGCTCTCCCCTTCTTATTCTGTTTCAAAGAGCTACTCTGTCTCAACCACAGCAGCCCTGCCAAGAAAAGCAAGATGAAAGGCTAGAGCATGGCTACCTTGAGATTTCAAAAAAAAAAAAAAAAAAATGTCCAACCTCAGCTGAAGATGCAGAAGGAAGCAGGAGCAGGAGGGGTCAGCAGCTCAGGATGCCTTGGGACAACTAACAAGCCAGTCACTGAGGGCTTATTATTACGGGAATCCACTGCCAGTTGAGTGTTTGGGGCCAGGCATCCCTCAGAATAATGGACCTTCTTTTAGGTGCTCCATGGGGCATGGCAGCAAGAAACCACCCCTGGAAAATCCAGCCTGTGTAATGACTGGATGTGTTGCCACCTCCCTTTGAGGATTCCCCTTCCTTAAAAGAAGATGGCAACAACTTTGTGAACTTGCTGTCTCTTTTCCCAATGTCCCACGTGGCATCATCTGTGTGTACATGCCATAGTTGAGAATATGAGGCTGTTCAACTCTTAGGGAATCTACTTCGGCTGAGGACTGATATCTCTCTATCTATTTCTTTCTCTCTCTCTCTCTCTCTCTCTCTCTCTCTCTCTCTCTCTCTCTCCACTCTAGCAGCTTTCATAGTATTATCCAGGTACTATGCTAAAAGGGCAGCTCTTCTGTAAAATGCCATGCCTTGCAGATTTAAAAAGCAAAATTCTGTTATTTCATAGAGGAGGGGAAGAATCACTCTCTTCTAAGAAAAATAGACTGGACAGGTGGATGCATGCATGTGTTTGGTGTTGCTTCTCTGAAGAAAAGAGGTGATAGCAACTAGTAAAATATGAATGAATGAGTGAGTGAGTGAGTGAGTGAGTGAAAGAGAAAGAGTGAGTGAGGCCAAGGTCTGGCTCAGGCTGGTAAAGCTCTTGCCTTATTAGAGGTTCCATGACGACACCTCCAGGAGGGAAGCCCTATTTCTGGGGTGAAAAGTCCCTTCCTTGGTATTATGCTAGCAATTGCTGTCACCGAATTGCTGGTGAAGGCAGTAAAATAAAAAAAAAATATATATATATATATATATATATATATAGCATTGCCATTGACAAAACAGGATGCTGAAAATAAAATCAACTCATCTTTTTCCCTTGTCCTACATTTTTGGGATTAAAACCAGAATAGGAAATCCAGTAATATTTCTGAGGTTGATACCCTATCTTTAAAAAGACCCAGTCTTTAAAATGAAACGAACAGGCAAGTAAACACCTAAAAAATCGAAAATTACCAAAGAACAACAATAAAACAAGAAAACCTAAAGATTTTTACTTCCTATTCTTATCCCCCTCCCTCTAACTGTGACATACCTTGCATTTGCTCAGTTGCCTGTGTGTCAAAATAACTTGTGGACGTTGGAAACTATTTGAAAATGTATTGTGTGGAATGTAATAAAATGATGATATTTTTATACAAACATCTGGGTTTTTTTTTCCCCCATTTGCCTGTGAGAACAAAGTTGAAGCGTAGGCTTAGAACAAATTGATGTTTCTAAAGTTTACACATCACCTTCTGAGCTACAGGGCATTTCTGTGGGAGGTAGGTGGGTTTTTTCCTTGAGGCTGAATGCCAGCTCTTCCTTCTTTTTATTTTTATTACTGCTTGTTAGGAGTTTTATCCAATTTGTACAGCTGAGCCAACTTTTATGATTGGTGTGGGATTTTGTGAAAGTTGCTAAGTGCTAAATTGCTAAATGTGATTCCACAAAATTTTCTCTTGATGGCAAATCCCTGGAGATCGGACTCTACTTTCCAAAGGCCCCAGGGGGAGTGGGACCAGCTAAGCTGAATCATGTACTTGGCTTCTACAAAGACAGATTCCTTCCTCTGGAGATGAAGCAGCAACATCCTACTCCTCACCTACCAGATGATTACTTTCACAGGGACATTGATCTCCAATTTATGAATGATTTCCTAGGGGAGGAAAAAAAAAAACAGGAACTTTTTGCCTGTTCAGGACTCAGAGATATTCTAGACTTTGCTTTTGAGCAGGTAATGAAGATAATTTTCTGATTATCACGAACCTGGAACTATCAGAGTAGAACATTTTATAAAAGGAACATATTCCATTAAAACTTTGTACTTAGGGAAACTTACTCAAAAGGCCTGATCTTATTTGACAACTTTCTTTTTTTTTTTTGTCATTCTCTTTGAATAGTTAGTGATCTAGTTCTAGAAAATATTTTAATCACAAGGGGAATTTTAAAAACAGTGATAGGAAAGACAGTCTCCGAGTGGTTCAAGGTTTCTAAGTAGGGTCAAGTAAGGGTTGCAAATGGATTTTCCACTGCACAGCTTTCAGGAGGTTTAGCTGAAGTTTTTCATCAACCCAGTGCCCATCTCTAGGTGTCCAAGGACCTTCCTGAAAGATCCTGAGAAAAAAAAAAAAAAAAAAACATGCCCAAAAGTCCCTATTCTGCCAAGGTCCTGTTTTTCTAGGTTCTGTTAGAACCTAGATCAGAGAGGAAATGCTTTTTACAGCTGTAAGACCTGTCCAAGTGCTACTAGAGACAGGCTTCTGTTTTCAGATCTTACAAGAAACTATTAGCGCAGATGGTTCAGTATAGATGTCATTATCCGTCCTCTGCAGGAGAATGGAGTAGAATGTCCGTGATTAGAGCATTGTTTCTTCCTCCAATGCCAAGCACAATTACCCATTTTGTCTAAATAACATTTGGCTTTCCTTAAAACCATTTGTTCCCAGTAGTAAAAGATAAAACAAAAGCATCTCAGAAGTGATTATTTCAAACAAAGACCCAGGCTCAGTCAACATTTGTCTGAGCTGACCGAGGACCAGATTTGCCAGACTGAAATTAAATTAGCCATTGCTTTTTTTCCATTAGCGTCACTGTTTGGGGAGCCTCTTTGGGGAATGATCCTACCTTGATTCTGGTCCCAAGACTTATGTTAGGGGCACTCTTCCTCTCATAGAAAAGGCAAAGACAGTTAGAAGTCCAGTCTTGCACACTGAACCCAGCATGGTTGCCAATAAACATTCTTCAGCGTGTTTCGGACTGAGCTCAAGCATAAATGTTACAGAAATTATGTTTCTGTGGATCATAAATACCAGATGTGAAGGCCCCGTATGTTCTGTTTGTGTTCCTACCTGATCCTTTATGATGGCTTAAATGTGTGTTCTTTCTTCAACCACTGCCCTCTTAACCCAGATAACCGAAGGCCGGCCAAGCCAATGTGGCAATGTGTTTGTTTTTCTCTCCTCTCTTCACGGTCTCTGCAGTTGTTTTGCACAAACACTGTGGCCTTTTTGTAATCTGTGATGAAAAGAGCTTCATTTTGAAGTTTTGATTTGTCTGCATTATGGGCTGCACATCTGAGCCAAACTGCAGATCGGTAGGTACAGGCTTGTTTTTTTTCTCTTTAATTGTTCAGAGCACTGGGGCTCTCACAGTTGTAATTTGCCTTTCATCCCCTTCAGTGATGGCCCAAAGAAAACACAAAACAAATCCAGCCAGAGAAAAAGGAGGGGGAGGGGAACACCAGCTGATGATCTTACAATGGGGAGGGGGGGGGAATTGCCTTGTATAAATAAGTTAGAAGCTAGGAATGGTGTAGGATGTAATTCAGCGTCACAGAGGTCAGGTGCACTGGCACAGAGGGTCAGCTCAACCTGAAACCCATACCCTTAGGAGTCATCCGACCACAAGTCTCAGCCGGAGGATGTTTGCACTGACTGCTTAGAGGAGTTCTGTTTGGCCCCAAACCTAACTGAAAAGAGGCAAGATTTGGGAAATCACCAGAGTAAAACTCCATTTTTGCATGAGGTAGAATATGGAGATTCCAGGAGCTTTGGCGCCACCAGCAGAAGCCATTCTGCCCCCAATTCCAGGGGTTCAAGAGACCCCAAAACATCTCTCTTCTGCAGAAAGTAATTACTCTGGGGATTTTCTGCTACTGACCTCTGAGAGAGAGAGAGAAAAAAATACCTAAAGTAAATTTCCATGGCAATGGAGCAAGAAATGAGAAAGACCATTTCAAGAGTCAGCAACAGAGGTATTGGAGACACGACAGGGTGATGTGTGCAAAAGTGCCTTTTCTTGCAGACACGTTGCCAAAGTGACTATTGATACTAAACAAGGTCCTTGAAGGAACTTTTAGGATAGTAACTGGCTGGGTTTCTTTCTTTCTTTCTCTAATTGACAAGTTATACAGGACTAGATTTTCAATAAGTATAATAATAAAGAACAAGTCCATCTCACTGTTAGCCAGTCGCACTGCCCCCAGAGTTTACCACAGAGATGGTTTGAAGCCTGGTTTCTGGGCTTGCTTATACATTTACAAACATATATGTTCATATCAAATTATGTGGTTGGGTTTATCTGGCTTTTGTTTTATGTGTATGGCATCATAGCGTTTGTTCTGTTGATTAGACAACTGGCTTCTTTTCACTTGACATCCCAAGGATATGTCAGTACACACCATCACACTTATCTGCTCCTTTTGAGCTGTTGCATAGCATTCTATATTGTTAATGTGCCGTGGTTTATTAACTGCTCCCCAGTGAGTGGGGATTCAGGTTGTGTCTTGTTTTTTATTATTATACAGAATACTGTAATGAACATCTTTAAAGTTGTTTCTTTCAGCACATATTTCTCTAGGAGAGAGTTTCTGAATCAAATGGCAATTCTATTTTCATTTTAATAGATGCTGCAAATAAATGGCTGAGGTTTGTCTTGTAAAGTGAATCTGTCCCTATTTAGGAGAATATTCTATTCTATTCTATTTAGAATGCCCAGAAACTGTGGACACCCTGGATGTAGGTTCCCTGCCACATTTGCAAGGGCCACATAACCTTTTTTTTCCTCTAAAGTGGGCATAGTGCTTGCAAGAGAAGACTTTGGGCAGTTTTAGCTAAAGAGAATTTTAAACTCAGGGAGTACTTCCCAAGGACATTTTAAAATTTTTAAACTGTCAACTTTTGAGGAATATGGGCCTGGCTATAAGTGGCAACTGGAGCATAGGAGTTAATTCTGTCCCTGGGTTCAGCAGGCAGAGTTCTGTTTTCCATGATTAATGAGTTCCACTTGGTTTCTCCAAAGAGTGACTGTGCTGTGCCTTGCTGTTATTTATTTATGTTTTCTACTAAAAAATTCATGTAAAAAACATCCTTTAAGGTCAGTGCACAGCATTGTGCTGCAGACCAAATGATTACAGCAGCCACAGGTAGACCCACATGCCAAGAACAAATCTCAAATCCTCGGGGCGTTTGCGATCCAGGCCCTCACACTGGCTGAGAGGACCAGACCTCCTGGGTGAAAAGGAGGGATCTGGTTTCCTTCCAAGGAGTTTCAGGACTAATGTGACCAAAGGAAAAGCACCAAGCAACGAACTTGTTTTCTAGTGGGATGCTTATACATGTAGGCATATTTACCTACTCACCCCAACCCTTCCAGCAAGGAATAGCAGAGAAGCCAAGAGACCTGCTATTTAGTCCAAAATACCATTTCTAACAAGAGCACTGACTTCTATGTGCTGAGACAAAAAAGAGTCATAACAATATGACTTTGAGCAGAAATGGATAGTGTCATATATGTGCCATATATGTGTTCTGCAGGCTTTCCCTGACCTCCAAAAAATCTAGGGCTGCTACCTGTTAGGCATCGGACCTGAGCATATTACTCAAGAATAAGTATGGGATCTGGGTGAAGCAGAGGTGTCAATTCACACACACACACAAAATGCTTTGTTTTGTTTTCTCTGTAAAATGGTGCACAGTTAATCTCCTCATATAATTAACATTCCCAAGAGCAAAGGCTGATCCAGAACTGGAATCATAGTATCTCAGGCCTTGGCTTTCAACAATAGCAGTTCCTTACCCTAGCCCTAGAATTCATTAACAGGATGCCTTGACCAAAGTCTTCTACTCTCAGCTGATCTGCTGGTTATTAAGGCTTCACTTTGGCAGAGGACCTTTTCTCCCCTTTGTGTTTACTTACTACCAGCAAGGACCTGGAAGAAGTGTCACAAAGACTTGGGCAGCTGGTGTGCATCTCCCCATCAGCTCTCCAAGGCAGTCTCAGGTGGCATTAAGAGCAAGACAGTCATTAGGACTTAGATGGAGGCCAACATGGGTGTGTCAAAGGATCCCCAAAGGTGCGCCATTAACCCAGGGCCAACTGTAGACCAAGAGTGTGAGTGTAACAGTAGTGTTCATGGGAAGCCCTGGACCCACAAGTGCATCATCACTTTCTGGCTCTGCAACTGCAGATAGGGACCCTGGGCCCACCTCTTTTTCCAAGGAGGACCTGGTCTCCACCCCTGCCTCTGTTGTACCAGAGCAATTCATGTACCAGAAACAATTCATCTTCAATCTCCACCTTCTAACTTCTGCACCTTCCGCCTGTCTGGGTGGCCCCTTTTCTTCTCCTCTGCATCTTCACTCTCTCACTACCCTCC